ATGAATACGCATACACAGAAGCATTACAAACAAAATTTACCACATTGATGTGGTAGAAATCAAGCAGGGCTCACCCATCGATTCACGATTGAAGACACCAAAACTAATCCAGCAAGAATGACGATGAGGAACAAGAAAAGCGAGATCTTAAAATTACGAGAATGAACCCTAGTTTCATCACCCAAGAACGGCAATAACGACTGGAAATTTGACAAAAAAGAGCGGACTCGATCTCGGGAGTGACGATCGTCATCGTCGTCGTAGGGGAGGTTGTCGGGGGACAATGGTGAAGAGACGTCGTCTCGCTTCATCGGAGACGCCGTGGCTCGGCTGCTCATGGAGCTCGAGTGGCGGAGCTCCGCCATGGCTCGCTTTGGACTGTACGCCAGCTCAGCTTCGCTTTGCTTTGCTCGATACACTGTGCGTGGCTGGGTCTACTGCTACGCCGGTTCTTCACGGTCTATGCGACTTCAGATCTTCTTCTTGAATTTGGTTAAAAGAGCCAAAAACTGAATTTTTTTTTTGTTAAAATTAGAGTTTGTTTATAGACAAAATTTATAGACCAGCTATAATATTTACTTTTTTTTTATTATTTGTAGAAGGGCAATCTAGACATTCCATTATTTATCTTTTCTAATTTTTTTTTCCAAGTTACCACATTGGAATTTGGCAAGATATCCACCGTGGGCCAGGCCTATCGTGCCCGTCAATCAATTATTTAGATTCAAATGTTTAGGTTATCTCCGATATAAATTCAAATTCTTATTAAATTTGAGTAAAAAAAAAGATTAAAAATTTAATTTGATATAAACTTCTTTAATGAAGAAATTTAAATTTAAATGAGAACAAATTCAAATTTTAAAGAAAGTAAAATATAATTATTGAATTTTTAAATTATGGTAAAATCTTACTATTAAAAACTTGAGTATAGATTTTGGTCTCCATTGATTTGGGTTTAAAAAAAAAAATTCATTTAATATAGATATAAGTCTAGCATTGGAGAAGTGTTTTAAATCATTTTTACCCAAATTTAAATTTAGGTACAAAAAAGAGTAAATTCTGAAAATATTCTTATTGTGAAACAAAAGCAAACCACATGATTTTCCGATGCATTATAGGTTCTCTGTATTTTTTTCTCCCTCTCCCAACTCAGAAAGACAGCACCATCACTAGATCTGAACCTCCCTCCTACACGCCCCCACACCAAAAACCACCACCACCACACATAAATTCCCACCCTATCACACAAAAAATGACAGATACACCACTACCAAGAATAATCCTCCCACTCACATTTGAGATAACAACTCCTGACTGCACTTTAGATATAAATTGTAAAACAAAGAGTGAAGTTAGAAAAGGGTCGAATGTATATTCGACTTATCTCCATCAATACTTCTATCCGTTGATGCTCAAGGATGAGAGGATATGTATAATGTGTAATCCTAATTTAACATGCATACATGGGGTCTGCTTTATTGGGTGGTTTACACCAAGGCTTAGGTTGGGTGGTTTACACCAAGGCTTAGGCTTGAGAGTCTACAACTGTAACTCCTCCTTAAGACTCTCACATCATCATATTTTTTGTTATCAAGTCGTGCATTTAGTACGCCCTGCCATGCATATTAATGCTTGATAATAGGGTGATGTAATCAAAATTTTAATACTTGAGAGACATAAAATTTGTTATTGTTTATTCCTTAATCATTAAGTCATCTTGAACATCTAGAAATACTTAATGTCGAGCATTCATGGTTCTATGCCGAGTATTTTTATGACCCTATGTTGAACATTCAATTCAATGTTTACATGGATTATCCATGTTAGCAAGAGTTATGTTTTTTTTAGATTTTTGTAGGGATTTAATGTTAGGGCCCCAAAAACGATGAAAGAAGTGCCTCCGTTGGTTGTTGGGTCTGACCAACCATTTGTTGAGCTTGGCCCGCTACTTGTTAGGCTTGATTGTTTACACCAACCATATGTACCGTTAAATTGACAACTTCAACCCGTAAACAGGTTATTTCTCTCATCAAGTACATTTGTGTTGGCCTTGAAAGTGTTAGTTGTTCAATCTTGATCTATAACAGTTTGGAGAACATACTTGCTAACAATCTTATACCACGTGCCAACTCATGATTGACAAGTCGCCCGCGCACCGTCATATATCAAAAAGAGATGGTCTAGTGAGTTCGGAAAGGGTTGGTGGCTTTGGTATCTCACGGGGTGAATGGTTGTTCTAGATTGGGGTGGGGAAACAATTGTTTCGGGGATAGGAAAAGCAAGATGATTTTTGGACAAATAGAAAAAAAAATTATGTAAATCCTGCTAATCAACGAAATTGGATAATAATGTAGCTTGATAGAAATTTTATCAGTAATTTAACACACTCATATGAAAAGGGCCTTGAAAGAAAAAATTATCATAGCAATCTTGAAAAAGTTACGTTATGTTTGTTTGTTGGATTGGACACAAAATTTAAACAAGAGATATTATAATTATGAAATAGATGCATTTTTAAAAATTAATAAAACATACCATACAAATTGTCATTATATTTGACCTATGTATATTTGATGGCTTTACCGTTCTATTTTGATCCTAAATTAGGGTTGAGAATTATGTCGGGTGTGGTGAATTTGTATCAAATTTTAACAAGTTTATATTAATAAAAATATTAAAATATTTATATTCAATTTATTTATTAATTTATATATAATAAATTGTTTAATATAAGTCGTATATAATTAATATATTATATAAATGAGTTACGTATATTGTGTGTCTCGGCAATGGGTCGTCTCTTATTTGTTTTGTAAGGATACTCTCCATGGAGGTTTATGTCCCGAGGGTTTTAACTAGACTGGCCCAAGACAGCACTTTGTTCCGTGAATCCGCAGTCTCTCTCTATCACACAGGGTGTGTCTAGTGTGTTGCATGGACGATGGAATCGGAAGGTGTTAGGGTTCGATTGGTATTCGAAGATCGGCACGTTCTGAGCAAGGCTCACAGATTGGAGGGACTGAAGCGAAGCTGGCTTCTTCTCAAACCCCAACATCAGGCCATAGCTGACGTTTCCACTTATCTCATCCACATCTTCGACCTCTACCACTCTTGCCCTAATGGCATCCTCCTCTCTGTATTACACTTCATCCCATACCTTTCTTGATAATTGTCTTGCATTTGTCTTGAATTTCTTACTGATTTGGGTTACATTTCTACTCTTTGCGAATCCAGTTACTATGTTTATCTTATAGCGTGCGAATTAGGTGCTTATGTTTTTGAAAAGACCACAATAGTGAAGATTGATACCATTCTGTGGTTACTGTGTTAGTTCCTTTGTTGAATTTTTTGAATTATCTGCAGTTCTTAGTTAATTCTTCGTTTGCGAGAACTCAAAACTTGGCATTGTTTTGATTTTGGTGAATATGTCTAGTTAAATTTGGTTCTTGTGGTATATCTGTTGGTGGGTATTGGAGGGAGGTGTCATTAGTATTGCTGTTTTGCAGATGGATGGCTTTGTCTTGCCTCCTTTTGAGTCAACTAGCATTTTAAAAAATGAAGATGTCATCAGGTAAGTTTGAAACTGAATTTGCTTGTTACATTACATTCTTTTGTACCAGTTATTTACATAGTTTGAAAGGTAATGTATGTTTATTGTTACTTTACATATAATGTCAGTGTGAAGAAGAAAGGAATCCCATTGTTGGATATTGTCAAGGTAGGTGGTGCAGATAACGCAGTTGAGGCAGTAGAAATTGTGGAGAAGCAACCTGTACATACCGGAGTTCCGCTTTTAGCAAATGAAAAGTTTGAGAAGGAAACCAGAGGCTATCCAAGTGAAACCGAAGAGAATGAAGACGACCAGTTGGAGGATGCATTGAATGTGGGAACTTCCTCTGGTGGAAATGCAGCTTCCAAGAAAAGAAAAGCATCTGAAAAACTCAAAAGCCCAAAGTATGTCTTTTGTTACATCTCTTGCAGTCCCTATTCTTTTGATCTGTATGCCGCATGTCTGTTGTGTCCTTAATTAATCTTTATGTACTTTTCAAAGACGAACTGCTTAGGCCTTTGATCAGTAGTTAATTTATATACTATTTTTTTTGTGAGTTTCAGGAGGAAGAAACAATGCACAGTTGTCCCTGAAGATGTTGATACTAATGGTCACACAGAGCAGATCGAGAAAGATGGAGATCTCAGTAGGAAGAATCTTCGCAAGAAGGAGAAAGTATCTAATAATAAGAGTACACAAAAGATATCAGGTCCTTCAGAATGTTCTGAACGGAGTAATGACAATGTTGAGGCTACACCCAGCGTGAAGAGGTAGGTCTTAGTATCTTACAGCCTTTCTGTAATGCTTGATACTTCATTTTTTTTTTTTTTGATTTTTTTGATTTATCTTTTCTCTCTGTGCTAGTGTTCAGCACGATTGTTTCTTAGGGGAGCAATACATCACTCAACCTCTGGTGATTTTATTTGAAGATTAATTTAACTTGTAGGTGTACTTAATTGTTTGTATATGCTCTTCTTTTGGTGTTTGCTTGAAATTGTTAGTTTCATCACACCATTTTATGGGGTTGGCTAGATTTGTGTGCCATATACCCTGTGCAATTTTTCATATTATTAGGCACCACTGTAGCACATTTGAAAACAAATAAAGACAATCCACTAAAAAAAAAAAAAA